ATGACGTTCACAGACTTGGCAAACAAATCATCAGATATATCATTAGCTAGATATATAAGTATGTAAAGCTAACAACAATGTGTTTTTGGCAATGATAAATTTATGGAAAACTTTTATTCATGTGAGTGCATAGCTGGGGGCAATTGAGCATCACGTGCTTCAGTGTTGCTTGGGCGCCGCTCAGTTATCTCTAAGATTTTATCTGCTTTAAGTGGTTCTACTTTCTGCCAATTTTTATATAAATTCTACATTGCCCGCGAATATTGATGGCTTGTGCTTAAATGTGCCCATTCGAGGTCTGTCACATGAACAGTTATAGATATCATCTGTGTTCTGTCCATGTTCAATGTGAAACGACCTTTATTAGGCACTCGATGGAGCTAGATGATATCTGCAGAGTTTTTATTTGGAGATAAATCACGCTTGTCTTGATTTTTCATTCTGGATTCTTAATTCACAATAATTGTTTAATATACACTAATATTCCTGAAAATGAAATTGTATATATTTTTCAAAAATTCCTACCTATATAAATCTTAATATTTTCATTAGTAAACTTTTTCGGATGAGACTTTTCTTATACTCGTAGAAATTAACTACCAAACTATAACATATAGCTATAACAATATCATTAAATATGAAAGAGTCTCTCATAGTTCCTGCAGCTGTATGAAATCTTATCTGTAAAAATGCCTTTAAATATGAACAAATTTCCATTTTGCTCTGCTTAATTGAAAGTAATTAATAGCCTTTTATCACATTAACAATTTAAATGCACAGCGAAACAACTTTTCACTCTTTAATGTGCATCAACTGATTGAAAATTAAAAAAAAAAAAAATGTATATAAAATGAATTTATTATCTTTCTTGAAATCGAGCTGGAGTTTCCCAGTTCGTACTCGTGGTCATGTGAAATATTTGCTGTGCGTTGCATCGCCACATCCGTAGCTGCATATCAAAATTCGCATTTAAAATTATTTGCATAAATACGGAAAAAGTTTTAAGTGAAATATCAATTTCGTTCGGCACTCAAATTAAACTGCGTAAAATGCAAACAATATCGTACATTAAATTATTTTTGTACGGGACTCTAGCTGAACTGTGCAAATAAAACTGGAATTAACTAAAGCTTTGCCTGCATTTATTTAATTGGGTTTTCTCCAATCATTTCAAACAAACTATCAAAGCAAACCAAATTCACGAACATCAAAAACCGAACAACAAATAGGCCCAGTGGACGTAGCTGACCAAAGAATACTCGGGCATAATTTATAAAACTAAGCTAAGTTTATTTTTGTTAAGTTGAGAATTAATTTTAAAATGATCGAAGATATAATTTTATAGGTAATATATAAATAATTTTTTGGAAACCCTATACAAAATTGAGTCTCCTCTCAGCAATGAAAGAAAAAGATCCTCAAATTTTCTAATCATTTCGAAAATAACAGCCACATGACAAACATCCACAGAGATCTCATATACTCTCCATATATTTCGAAGCGGGCATTAAAAAAAATTTAAGAGAAATCAAAGCAAATGAGGCAAATAGAATATAGAGGAAAAATTTAGGAAGAGGAGCATTAGCTGAATGGTGACGTAGAGGGAGTTGCTATAGAGTTAGCCATAAATTAACTTTGACAAAATTACACACACACAAGCACACACGCACACTCACTCACTCACTCGGACAGACAGAGGAACACACGCAGAGCACACACACACACACACATTTAGCACATTAAAATCCAAATCACGAAGTTGGAGGAGCAATTTCAATTAAAGCTAATTACAGCCAATATCGAATGCCAACAATGTCAAGCGTCAAAGGCACAGAGCACGACGAGCACAAGCAAAAGGACGACCATGCGACATTCGTTGTGGACAGCGACGGCGACGGCGACGGCGACTGCGACAGCGACAGCGACAGCAACTGCGATTTGGCAACACACTCGGATGTGGCATCAGCGGTTGTGGGCGGACGAACTGTCCGTGTAGCCGGTGGACTGTGGCACAGTTATGGATGCGATGCGTTACACTGCAAGAAATCGCTGTGCAGTTGAAAGAGAGCTGAGAGTTGCCTTAACTATCGAGGCACGCAGAGCAGAAGTCAGCTGAGTTGATCAGCTTATCAAGTTTAGTTTCTAAGAAAGAATATAAAAAGAGCTCAACTATTGAATGTATTATTATATGAACAAGCTGAATAGCTAACCAATGCTATCTGTCCCGCGTTCATCTCCAATACTACAAAATCTTACAGCCCTTTGGGAAATCTCTAGTAAGGAAGACGTATACAAAATCTAATCTTCAACAAATTTAGTCGTTAAACAGAAAGAAGGAAACTTTGTGCTTCTACAAGCAAGGCAAAGAAAAGAAGAAAAAAAACACAACCACACACACTCTCGGCCCGATGCATGTCAACAGATAGAGAGAGAGTGCAATCTGCCAGGTGAGCGGCTGAACAGACACCTGTGCGGCAAAGAGTTATCAAGCAGAATAAAAAATTTCAGCTCGCGGGCGCAAATAAATGTCGCTGTCGCCAGTGATGCTAACGTTCGTGTCCACAACTGTTTGGGGTGCAGGCGTGGCTGAAAGGCGGCCTCAGAGAGAGGGGCGTGGTTGTTGACAGGTAGATGATGACGCGTACTGCACTTGCCGCTGCCGCAGCCGCCTCCGCAGCCGCTGCCGTTGCCGTTGCCATTGCCACGAAATAATTAAAGCAAATTTGCACTTCAGACAGTGTGCCAGAGCCGGCGACCCACAACAACACAACAAGCAGAGCTCGCCCAGGTGCTCGACAAGGGCAGAAACAACCACAGGCCGCATCCACAGACTCACACACTCACACACTCATACATTTGCATTCACAGCGAAAGCCAGAGCCAACGTCAACAATAGAGAACCACGCACAACAACGCCAGTCAGCCGGCAAACTATGCGAGGAAAAAAACACACACATTCAAATTACATATATGGATATACATATGCATACATACATACATGCATACATGCATTACATGTATACATATATAGGTACATATATATAATATGGAACATAGCCAACAATGGCAGTGAGTGGCAGAGACACGCCCAGGGGCGGACTACTCAGCCAAGGTGTTGTGTCAAGCACACATAAAAAGCGTTCAAAATAAAAGAAAAGAATGAAAAAAATACATATACATATATATAAATAAATGTATATGCATAAATATAAATACAAAAACAAATATTTAAGCTTCGCTTAAGTTGCGTTTGCTTAACTTCCATTTTTATTTTGTGATTGTTACCATAACTGATTAAATTTGAAATGAAAACTGACCCCGTTTCAATTAAAAATTAATACTAATTTAATTAATTATAAGTTAATTAGCGCTGCTTAAATGTTGCACAAGCTTTCGACTCTCAAGAGCTGGTGAAGAGCGGCAAATATTCGAGTCGTCTTTGATATGAAAATGTTGCTTAAAATATGAAGACATAAGACAACGAACGAAATTTTATATAAATATAATATTAAATGTGTATAATGAATACAGAACAAATGTAAATAAAAATAAAACAGATAGCTCATCTCCAATATACTAACCTACTACTAAATATTTACCTATCTAAATAAATAATTTTGTTTAATATTCGTCTTCTTTCCTAAAAATGATTATAGGTAGAGCTTAAGTATGTATACGATTTTCATAGTATGAAGATTAGGACTATATATCATATACATATGTAAATATAGTTCCCTCTATAATTTCATAAATTCACTATTTATGTGAACAGTTTAGTTTTTCTCTGACTTGAAAATTATAATTATATTTACATATGTTACTGGTATTATTTTTTAAATTTTCATTTCAAATTATATGGTTAAGCCTACTTGCTGCTAGTGCTACGACCTTGTGAGTGTATTTTCATTTATTTTGTATGTATGCACTTATATTGGACTTTCTGTTAACCGTCTCTATAGATCAATCAGAAAATTGTAGAATTTAATTAAATATAAGTTAATATTTCATTCAAGTATTTTAAAAATTATAATTATTTATTTACACATTTTTACTAGCAAATCTTACATAAAATCCGTACTTGGGCTTCATTTCAAAAAAGTTTGAACTCAAAATTTTGATTTTCAACTCTACTTGACTACTTATTTTAAGGAAATCTACAAAAATAAAACGAAAAAATATTTAAATAAATTCAGAGCAGTATATAATTTTAAAAAATAAAAATTAGAACAAACAATAACAATTTTTAGTCAACAATTTATAGTTATTTTCAGTTCAATTTGATTGTGCTTAATATGCCAGGAAATATTCTAAGGCGCCAAATATAGGCGACTGAAACTGCTGTTCGCGAACGCTCGCGGGCCTGGGAAACGAGAGAACACAAAACACGAAGTAAAACAGTGAGAAATCAGCTAGCGACAACGACAGCGACAACAACAACAACAACAACAGAAATAGCGTTTGGAGAGGGAGAAAAAAATAGATGCTGAGCGCAACAAGGAGCAATGCTTGTATAGAAATGCCAACGCAGCAGCGAAAACAACAACAACAACAACAACAGCAAATACAAGAGAAATGAGAACAACAGTGAATGGCAACAATAAACTGAGCTTGCGCCGAAATTCGAAATGTGTGAAAGCAGCGCGGCTCTCAGCGCTGCTCGGCAACGAAGCTGGGAGACAACAATGGCGAGATGGCAACATAAAATCATGTACATACATACATAAAGGCGAACATACGAGTAGACCCACACACACACAGAAACATTATAGCGGCAGCACCAGCACGAAGTCACAGTCGTGTTTGCTGTTCGCATTGAACGGTGAAAGGCGAACAGCAGGAATAGCTCCCAGAGCCAGCATCAGATTCAAAGTCACATTTAGCATGCGTGTCCGTGTCCGTGTGTTTCTGTGTGCGTGTGTCGATGATTCAAGCAAAAAACACAAAAAAAAAAAAAAAAAAAAACCAAAAAGCTTTTCAACTTGAAATTGAACTGTGTGAATTGAAAGAAGAAGCAGCTGGCACTCACACAAGAGACCGACAAATTGGAGAGCGCAGTGAGCTATCATTGTTGCCGTCGCATCTACTGTTGTTGTTGTAGCGGATGCTGTTGTTGTGGGAGCAAAAATATTTTAACGCAATTAGAGACCGAAGCATCGTCGTGGCATCAGATCCAGAGCGAACGCGCACGCAGATGGACACGGTGCACGGATAAAATCAAATAGAAGCCGTAACACGCAGCACAGTGTTTTTGTATGTGAATGCCTGAAACTCCATAAACCCAGTTTTGCAAAAAACGTGGTGAAACGTGCGCCAACGAGTGAGTTAGTGAGTGAGTGAAATCATAGTAAATGCAAAGCGACTCAATTAACTGTGAAATCCAGCTGCATCAAGAACAAACTATGAGGTGTGAAGAATAAGTGAGCGGGATAGCGAAAGTGAGAGCGAGCAAGATAGACGAGCGCAAACAATTTGTTGAATACTGCTGCGTTCGCACTAGCGACCGAAAGAAAGCAAAAGTGAAGAATATCACACAAACACGCACACAAACAAACAGGCGCGCTCACAGACACACACTCACACACATTAAGAACTCTGTAATGCGTGTATTTGTGTAACTACTTAATACAGATGCAAATACAAAATTTCAATATACACACGCACACATAGGAAAGCGCAAAAAAGAGTGCTGCCAACTAAAGTTGAGTGGAAAAAAACCTCAGCAAAGCCCAGCAAGATTGGCGGCGCATAAGTTAAAAGGACAAAGACGATTAAACAGCTTCGCTGTCGGCGACAGCGGGAGCAGCAGGGACAGCGGTAACGGTAACGACAGCGGCAGCAGCAGCGACAGCATCAGTACGAAAGGTGAGCGCAAAATAAGTCATGCAAAAAGGCAACAACTCAAGACAGGCTGCCGAGCTAGCAGAGGGGCGGGCTGGGCAAGCAGTGTCAAGAAAACCGCCCGAAACAGATTTCTTTCCTTTTTTTCTGCTCCTTCTTGAAGTGACAGTCGTCGCCTCACCAAAACGACTCAAGAGGTGACAGCAGCGCCACTGGCAGCTCGCAGCGGCAGCGGCAGCGCCTTCGTATGCTCGGATTCGTATTGTGGGGAGTCGTGCGTGCTCGCGAGTTACGCACGAAGACGTCCGCCTTTTGGCTCTCCCACACACACACACACAACTGTTGTGGTTGTTGCTGTTGTTGTTGGTGCAAACACACTTAACACAAGTAAAAGGCAAAGCGAAAGAGCAACCTGCAAGCCTAAAACAACAACCGCAACAACAACAATTACGTTGATGTCAGCAGCAATGGCGGCGACAACGGCAACGGTGATAACTCATGTCCTACTGACATTTTTGGGTCAAAAACTAAAATATTATGTGTGCTATCTCCCTTCCTCCCGCCACGCTAGTTGCCTTTTGTGCTGCTTAGCTGTAACTGTATTTGTATTTATATTTGTACTTGTGGCTTGGCAGTCAATATTTTATGCGTCTGCTCCGTCTGTTGCTCTTCCCGTCTCGCTCTCTCATTCCTGCTCTCGTTCTCGCTCTTTCGCTCCTCTGTCACATTCCGACAGATTAAAATTGCATCCGGTTAGAGCAAACAAAAGTGTTTTGGCTTCGTTTATAACATACAAAATTACCAAGCAAGGCGCGCAGAGCATCCACAAAAAAAAGGGGCGCTACAACAACAAAAATAACAATGAGCACCAACGAAAACAAACAAAATGGCGGGCAGCAAAAACAGAACGCGAAGAAAAAAAATTAAAACAACAGCAACAAAAATGAATTCAGAATAAAAGTCTTAATTGAAATTTTTGCTTGAAATATGTGCAATGGGATTTTTAGAGGGCGCTCTGTATGCTCACTGCTACCTAAAAATGGAAGCAAGGCCATGGAAGTCGAAATGCCAGCGACACGTTACATATGGGTGTGTGTGTGAGTGTGTGAAAATCGCTGAGTGTGTTTGTGTGTGGGTGTCATCGTATGTGTGTGTGTGTGTTTTTAGCATATCTTTGCCAACGGCAACTTTTGTTTGCCAGTCATGGCAAAAGTCGTGGGGTGTGTCCCGTTCCTCCGCAAAGGACACAATCTTGAATGACTTTTGTTGTCTTTGTATTTGTAACAACATTTTTCAGGTTGGCGTGCAAATTGCTGCCACCGTCGCTACTGCTGCTGCTAAGCTGTTGTTTAGCTGCCAAGGCATCTCTTTGTAGCCGTGCTACGGAACAACGGTAATCAACGCTAAGCCAAATAGCCAAAAGCTGAATATTCGATGAAGAGCAATTACATCGCCTTTACAAAATATGCCAAACAATTTATTCGAATTTCTTATCAGCTCGAGAAATGTGTTTTTGAGATAGCCGCATATAATATAAACTGAATTTATAGCTTTTGCTTGAGCTGAAAAAAAATGACGAAATTTATATTAAAATGTGTAGCTAAAAATAAGTCACAGGAATTATATTAAAAACTGTTGACATCTAATCTAGCTAATCATGATAGTGGTATGTTAAACATATATACCTAGCAACTACAAATTATAGCCCCTTTCTATACATATAGCCCTATTTATATCTTACAATAGGTCGTCACACAACATTTTTCAACCAAGTCAAAACATGTCTCTAATCTATGCATTATTACTCATACGCATAGTTGGCAATGCTCAAATACATGTCGTACATGTTGAGTAATGCCTTAAGCTGACTCAGACTCAAGATTGATGGTAAATGGTCACCCTAATCAATTGTCTTGTCAAGCAATTTGTTAGTAATTCTTTCAAATGAAACTACATTTTCGCTGCATACTTTTGTGAGCAGCCCTTGTGGCAGAGCTTAAGTGGCAGACCTAAGGTCCTCAAGACCTATTGGACGTAGATAGAAAGTTAAATATAGACATTCCCATGATGATGTTTTTAGCTTGGTGGGAAGATGCTTAGATGAGAAGGAGATGAAGGTAAGTGGAGTCCTTTAAATTCTCAAGTGAGGAACTTTAGGACGCAGCTCCTTCGAGAATTAACAAACCCTGAAGAATATTTAATATTGTTTATTTTTATTACATTTTAGCTCAGTATATATTGCTATCAATATTTAAAAATAATAATGTATCTGTACATTATTGGTCAGGACGATGATCTGCGTTGATTTATCTTTGTCCGTGGAGCGCTTCACCAATAAGAGCTAGATAAATTTTGCTAGTAGGTCTCTACAACATACCAATGAATGTTGTCCTAGCGTATCTAAGGGATCCAAAATATGCATTATACTAAATACCATTGCATAACTTAGGGAGCAGCCGCGGATGTTGGGGCTCAAATTCGAAATGTAAATAGTAGAGCATCCTCAGCTGAAGAAGCGTTATAATCTAAAAAGATATGAAAGAGCCGAGAGGCTGAATGTGTTGGGATAGGTTCGAGCTTACCTCTTATGACTCATGACAAATATTGATGCAAACATCATGATTTCTGAATCATGAAATTTCCTAGATTTCTAGATCTTTTATAAATTAGCCTTCCACTATAAACATCGTCAACTTTAACTAGTTATAAATTGTATAGCTCTATAAAGTTTTCACAGCGTGTGAAATCAACGCACATTAACTGCGTGTTGTCATGATGCTGCGGGCAGTTGTTAGTTTTTTAGTTTTTATCATGAAAAGTTTGTAGCTAGTTTTCCACATGAATATTCTTACCTCTCTATTTAGCATTTTAAAATTATTTAATATGTGTCTCAAATTTATTCTTAGTTTACAATTCTTCCGCCAAATATATTCTATATATTTTCAATTTAATTGTAGTCTAAAAATATTCTCTCGAATACGAAAATTTTGATAGTAATACAAGTTAAAAGTTGATCATTGTAGCAACTGCTTCAATTTCAAAAGTTTTTTAGAGATATTCAGAACAAACCAATTTCGAATAATGATATTTATTTCTAGTTTTATTACTTTTATCTTATTGAAAAGTTTCTCTCTTTCTCTACTTCCTATATAAATTGATGCTTATAAAAGTATATATGCTGAAAAGTTTCCATCTATCTTTTTCTACATGCAAAACTTCATGTTAACTGCCCAGCCCACTCTACCCGCCCCTTTACAAATAAATTGTTAACTCAAATTGTAAAAAAATCTTTTCATTTTTTTTTTTTTTGTTACAAGTTTTACGCTCTGAAAACGTTTTTTGGTATTTGTTGAGCACTTGCAAGTTGCTCGGATTCAAAAATCAATTGATTTGCATTTAATTTATGCCATATTTTAAGAGTTCATTTAAATGGAAAACAATTTGTCAGACCTTTTGGCCTTACCTACCCAACCCATCCCTCCCCTCCCCTCCCCTCCCTGTCCCCGCGCCCAAATCTTCGTTGATAAATGGCCGCGTGCGTGGCAAGGTGAAGTATTATTGCAGCACTTGCAGCACTGAATAATCATTTAGCTGATTGTCGGACATAAATCCAAATAAGCTTTTGATGATGCTGCACGCAACGTCAAATTCATTTGGCTTTAATAAAAAGGAAAATTTGAATCGAATAACGAAGTGGTTTAGTCTGTCAAATGTGTCGAGGCGTGGGCGGGGGCGTGGCGTGTGACGCGTTATCAAGGCATTTTCCTTTTATATGCGAGCAACAACAGAAAAAAAAACACACACATATATATATAAATGAGCACACAAAAACGTATCAAAGGTGGCCACGCCCACATACAAAGAACGCCCACTTGACTTTATCACAGTGTGCGCTCCATAAAACGGCCGAACGAACTCATCTGTATTTTGGGCCTTCTGTTGCTTTTTGTTATTGTGCAAACGGATACATCTTAGTTATTTGTCTGTGTAAATCAGACTGTGCGTGTATGTGTGTGTGTGTGTGTTTATCTTGGCCAGCAGGCTATATAGTTTATCTATGTGCATGTTTGTTGTTGCTGCTGCACGCTTGTTGTCGACTTTTGCGCACTTATTCCATATTTAAGAGGCAATTTATATTCCCTTTTTTTTGTGCTGCTGTATTTTGCTTCTTGCTGTGCAACTATGCCGCAAATGCCATTCAACTTTCAGCTACAGTTTCCGTTCGCGACTGTTTCTGATTTCTCTGGGCCGGCCCAGAACGGCCTCGCCTGGCCTGGGCTGGCCGGCCACACGCCCGCACACACGCTCCATGTCCCGGCTGGCAGCTGAAAAGCTGCTGCCTGCCTAAGCTGTCCATCCTTTTTGCCTGTCAGTTTTTAGAGACCGTGCGTGTGTATGTGACTCTGTGTGTGTGTGTGTGGGTGTGTGTAGCCAATTATCATTTTCTTTCTCGTTTCTTTTTTCATATATATATTTTTTGAATGAATAAAAACGACTCTTGACTCCAGACAGGATGTTGCCTGTCGCGCGTTGCTATACACAGGATGTATCTAAATGGCATTTCCATAGCCACGCTTTGGACTTTTGCACCTTGCGGCAATTGCAGTGCGTTTTTTTTTTTCCACATTTTTATTGTGTCATAAATTATTCAAACGTAAACATCATCAGCAGCAGCAGCAGCTGAAGAAGCATCAGCAGCAGAAGCAGCAGGGGGCTAAGGACATGCGAGGCAGCAGCGTTTTTTTTTTTTATACCCTGAACCCATTGAAAATGGGAAATCAGGGTATAATGGTTTTGTTGAAATGTATGTAACAGGCAGAAGGAGGCGTGGCAGACCCCACAAAGTATATATATTCTTGATCAGGGCGACGAGCTGAGTCGATTTGGCCCTGTCCGTCTGTCTGTCTGTCCGTCTGTCCGTCTGTCCGTATGTTTGAACGCGTCGATTTCCGAAGATATAAGAGCTAGAGACTTGAATTTTTTTTTTAAATGACCGTATATACAGCGCGGACGTCGAGTTTGCT